TACTACTACTATATATATATATATATATATATATATATATATATATAATGGACAGTTCCATCACTTTGAGACATGAAGAATAACAGTAAGTGCTACTCAAATACTTCCATTCTCTCTACCTCTGAAAACATTTAACTATGGGTACTGCATTGTCACAATATTATCAACCGCTTAATTGTTACACCAATCCGATGATTCGAGATGACCGATATGTACCGATGAGATTGTCAACTTCACTGTGTCTCCCACTGGCCTTGGTCACCTAGTGCGATTCCGCTATTTCCCTCAAATATTATGTGAAATATAACGGATCGTATGATCAGGTTCTAATGGTGCTTAGCTGAGGTGGGGTTGAGGTCAGACAGGTTTTCAAGGTAACAGATATTGGTAAGTTATGTGAGGGAGTATGATACTAGGGGAGATTCAGGGAACGAGAGGAAGGGAGAGAAATATAACACATAATGATGTATACACGGGTGCTGTTATTAGCACACATTCCAATAGATTTTGTTAAGTATGAACGCTGTCACGTTGGTACGGAGGTCGAAAGGTGGTCATAGTATATTGTTTAAGTATGCATAAGTAGAAGTGACATATAATGAAGTAATGTCTAAGGACAGTATAACAATGCAGTTATATTTCAGGTAGATATAAGTTGACAGTATGGCACCACAAATAGGAAGTACCAGACGTTCAGCCAGTGAAAATAACACAACAAAGAACGTGGAACAAGTAACGGTATGTGCTAATTCTACTGTATTTCGGACTTTCATACTTCAGGAAATTAATGTTCTATCGTTACTTTGTCATATGATAATTTATTTTTGCTAAGCACTTTTGAGTGCACAGATAACAATATCGATCCTTTGTCGTGCATTCGATGCTCAGAAAAGGATAGAACAGTTCTCGGCTTTTCGGTTTCCCTAACCATGCTAACTAACTGTTACAAGCTGACAGTTAAGCTCTCCTTTGACTTTATGTCTCATAAATCACTTGGGAACGAACAATTTATTGCAGATATTTAGTGAGGTAGCCATGCGACATAACGTTGGTATTTTGGAGTATTCAAGGACATGTCAAGCAGCTGCATCAGGAATGGCCAGCGGCATTCTTGGATTAACTGGAGTATCTGGATTTATTTTCTACTTTATCCTTGTTGTTTTGCAGGTATCTTTCTGCTGATTAGATTAGTATTACTTTAATTTATTTTAGTTTTATTTTAGTAGGTCATTTATACACAAATTTAGAATAACAGTATTGCATTTTCTTGAGCTGAAAACCGCATATAGTTATTTTTGACTACCTCATTTTAGTTTTTCCTATTACAGGCCTTATTTTGGGAGATGAAAGCAAATTTCGAGTGGCAGAATTACTTCATGAATCGAAGTTTATCACTGACACATTCATTAATATCTGGTTTATTCACTTATATTTTATTCTGGGTGTTTTTATATGGTATGGTTCACGTTTACTGAGTCCGTCATAGTTGCTTCAGGGTAGTATTTCGCCGATTCAGAGTTTGGAATAATATTGCTATAGTTGGCTGACAGAGGTGAATCAGCATCTTTTTATGTTTGCAAGTGAATCAGCATCTTTTTATGTTTGCAATGTATAAGTTTATGACCAGATGGTTTTTTATATACATATTATTTAAATCTGTAAAAAAAAGAATCATTTGTATATCTTGATTCTTGTTGCTTCCGATAAACATGGAATTTTGTAGTTATTAACCATTCTGTTTTTAACCGTGGCACTGAACCATTGTCATTGCTATCTTTTGTTATTTGTTAACAGTTTAATGATGTTTGTTAAAACCATTTAATATATTTCTGAGTTTCATTTACCGATTAGATATTTGCTAATATTTATTTCTGTATGATAGTCAGGTTGCTCAATAATTTGTTGGAACTTGCATTTTTCCTTTAGAACTTTCGGCTTTTTTTCGTCCGTATGCTTGAGGACCATACTTTACGAAGGTTATTTTCGAAACTGACTCTCGATGCCTTTTGAAAGGCTGTTTCATTTAATCTTTCACTACTTGGCGTATTTCAGAGTCACGCAATTGTGGTTTTGGGATTTCGTAAATTTACGAGGTTCCTCAAGTTCTTCCTAACCACTGTCGTCACTTATCCTCACAGGGTAACGACGTCGAGTATTTTCGGTATTACATATATGTGTTACGTATATCCTAACGCTCATTTTTGTTTTGATGGTAGAATTATGTTTTTTTTTACTTTTCTTTTGTTTTATACTGGTGATAGAATTTACTGACGTTGTGACGCTGTATGTTCTTAATGTGCGGTAGTTGTGCTACCACGATTACTTTTTCAATTTGATTTCTGTACTGTATCCTGAAATTCATACTTATTGGAATCAAATCTGCATTCCGCAAATGTGATGTTAGTGTTAGAGCCAGCAGTTAGACAGTTCCAAAGTCTTTTAGTATTGGGTGGCATCTTTCACCATAGTTTTTTTTTCACAGTCGAAAATATAACCACGTCGACTTTCAGAATTGCTTTCAGTAGCTTTTCTTCGTTAGTTTTGAATACACAGAAGTGGTTTACGAAGCTCAGTTTTCAAAGTAGTCTTTTTTCATTGCTCGATCGGATTTTGGTCGGATCGGATGATATTTAGGGATCGTTTTTCAAAAAATATTTTATGCTTGTGAAATTTCTTGAAGTAATAAGAGGTATTCGATCATCAGTAAAGTTTTTCGTCGCTTAACTGCTGGGATTTCTTAACCTTTCCTTCTAAATGTAGTTTTACAAGATTGCAATTACTTGCGAATGTAAAGGCAAAATATAACTCAGCTTACCCATCCTATTGTAGTTTTCTCTGCCAAGTCTATATCCGCGTCTGAGACACGAGGACACTAATGTTGAGGGATAACGACAAGGTGAGACTGAAACGATCAGACCTTATCAGGAGAATTGAGGAACAGCAGCTTCAAATTGCTGATTATGAAAATAAATTGAAAGGTTTGGAATATTTTTATCAGAAATGACAGAATTTCAAAAGTGATAATTTCTCGTACCACCACGAAGGTCTGAAAGGTATATGCTTTGCACGTGTAACTATTTTGCGCCCCCTTCTAATTTTAATTTGTTGAGGGGTTTCCGAATGTCATGTAATTTTTCCTCTTCAAATTTTGGCCTGCTGTCAGTGAATTTCGTATTCTTCAGACTTGATTCGCGCTTACAAGGGACTCAACGCTGAAAGGAATGCTTTGCAGACAGCAGTTAAAGTTTTGGGCCTACAGCAAGGTGTGTTTAAATTCTGAAATGAAATTTTTCAGAGGCCATAATTTGAATTAGCAATCAATTTTCTTACAGAAACTACAACTAATTTGCAAGGTGGAGCGTCTCTTCTTGGAGCTAATGCAGAGGACGAGGAGCTTCCTGAGGTTTTACATACTGTTATTTTTGTTCTCATCATTTTAATCAAATTTCGGGTTTGGATAAAGTAATGAAAGTTGCATGTGAAACTTGCGTTTCCACATTCTGATTATTATGAAAAGCATACTACAATAATGATTGTTTTTTAGGAAAACCAAATGGAGCAACTAAAAAGGTCTTTAAAAGTATTAATAACTGAAAAAAATAGACAGGAAGAAGCTTTTCTGTATGACAGAAAAGCTTTATTGGTAAGTGGAAGCAAAACTTTTTACTTCTGGCAAATTTAAGTTAATCATTAGTTGGAGCTGAATGTATGCTTGATTTCTATTTTTAATGAGAAATCGAGAATTTTATGAGTTGAGTTTCATAGCAAAAATTGTACATGAAGTAATTGTGATTTTCACTTTGCATTTTTATTTTCGCCAAGCAAGAAATTTTCATAGATGCTCATTAACTTAAACTAATCAGAATATCTTTAACTTCTTTTCTTGTACTTACAGGTTGAAAATGAAACTTTAAAGGAAAGGCTGACAAAGGCTGCTACCGAGACTGAGGCACAAGCTGAAAAGTTGGAAAATAGTTTGTTGGTAAAATATTTTTTTCGGATGATTTGTTTGAATTTCTGGTCTTCATTTTTGTAACAGCTAATGTTGGATGCATTGAGAATTCGATTATCTCAGCTATTCCACTTCTTATAAGCATGTTCCAATTGTTAAATTTAATTATAGGAATTACGATCAAAAATAAAAGTGATAGAAGGAGATCGTGAAAAAGAATTGTCGGACCATGGTTCTGTTCTGGCTGCTATTCAACAGCAGTATGCAAAAGAGTGCATCAATTCGGAGCAGCTTGAAAAACGGGTATAAAATATCAATGATTTTTCATTATAAGACTACTATAATTACAAGACTACCATAATTATTAGTGACTTTACGACTTCCTTATTGGTGGATATATCGCTGTTTAATAATTGTTTAAAAAATTAGATTAGTTGCTTAATTTTTTACTTTAAACCTTGGACCATGATTCCTATTGCAGATATCCGAATTATATCAAAAGTTGCATGAGAAAGAAGAAGTATCCAAAGTGCTCGAAATGGACATTGTTTTTTTGAAAGAAGAACTTAGCCGAACACAAAGTGAAATAGAATTTTGGCGGAAAAGAGCTAAGAAAACACCATCTATAAAAGTGTTGGAAAGTGAACTTAAAGATGTAAAGGTGAAACTTCATTTTGTTTTTAAGAAGCACAAATAATATGTCTGTTAAACTTGAGTCTTTATATTTTTTCGTTTTTTTCCTTTGCTTTTTTTTTTCGAAATCTTAAACGAAATTCACATCAGGAAAGCAATAAAAATGAAATCGCCGAACTAAAAAGAAAGCTGATGGAGACTGTGAATACAGAGAGGGAAAGCCGTCTACGTGAACTAGAACAAAGGTTATTGTGCAAAATGTGGAAGAACTTTATTGGTATTTATTACGGTACCTTTAGTTTATGGCAAATTTTAATATAGGCTTCAGGAAATGTCGATTGAAATTGGCGATTTTAATAGAATTCGCACAGAACTCCAATATAAAGTGGATCAGCTGGAAAAAAAAATAAGACTTTAGAAGATAAGAATGCATTTCTCGAGGTATGTTTGCTTCTCATAATTTTAGCGAATTTTGATTTCATTTTAAATAGTTTTGAAAACTTATTATAAATTTATGCAAAAGCTTTCAGTCATAGAGCGACTGGAATTGATAAAAATCTTTCTAGAGGGAGAACACGAGGCGAGAACAATAGTGTGTGCATAAACTCATCATTCTGTTTAGTGACAGTGCCTAATATGGTAGAGCTAATGTAAATAAAATAGAATTTATGCCTCCGATTTCGAAGCATTACTTACATTATTATTCTTCAGGTACTTATTGACAAGTTTATAGAATAAGATGATTTCATAAAACAGAAAACGCTGCCAGCCGGAATTTATGAAGTTTATTTCCCCAGCATTTTTTATTTTTCAAATGCATAATGATTTATGTAATCTCACATAATTCTTGCGCTTAGGCTTCAAAATCAACGAAAGAAATTGAGGACGAGTCTACTGATTTCGAATCGCTGGAACAGAATTTCATAAAAAGTGCAGAGAAGTTACGCAATAGTAAAAAGATAGTCAATTTTTATGGTACATTCTTTTTTTGGATTGATTTCGTGCCAGAATAAAGTCATGGAATATACAAACAGTTACTTAAAAAAGAAGTGTCCGAATTTTTCGAGATGGAAATTGTCTGTTTGAAGTTTTTGAATATCTGGTATTGTGTTTAGTTTCATCAGCTTGAAGTTGATGTTAACTGCAGAGCTGTTAGGCCTAGAAGAAACTTTATGTGAACAAAAGCGACGTTATGAAATTCTGAATAATGAGTTCGAAAACTACAAGCTGAAAGCTGAAGCAATACTAAAAAGCAGATCTGTGAAGGTACAGTCCTTTATATTTCCATATTCATTTTCATGTATGTTTTGTTAGTTTATTATATAATAAACAACTTAGACTCATTTCACGGAAATTAGATAGATTGTTGCTATCGCTGTTTAATTAACGTCGCAAGATGGCCGCTTTCAGTGTTAAAAATGTGCGATTCTATTTCTTACTCGCGTCAGCAGAATTCACTTATTTAACTTTTTTCCTTTGTGAATATGTTGAATATTTGATTTACTTTGTTTTTTTTCTTAATACTGCTTATAAAGAAGACCTGAATGTGCATACTACTTTGAAATGCGAAGCGATTTTTTATTATAGTTTTTTTTTCCTTAATTAATAGTTTTTTTTCCGAACGGCATTTAATACTGGTAATCGAAAATAGTCAAACAAATAACTAACTCTGATTATATCCTTTTAATTCATATGAATGCGAATTTGGTGTTGGCTGTAAAGTTCTTTGGCTTAGAAGAGGCATCATTTGAAGAAACAACGTTATGAAATTTTAAAAGATGAGTACAACAGTTAAGGAAGTTAGTCAGAAATCCAGTTTTGAGTGCTTTTACCAAACGCCAGATATTGGCATAAAGCAAACAGCTTTATAATTTTGATCTTCCAGAATGATGCTTTGGAAAGTACAGGGATATCACATACATTATCGTTGTTACCTGTAAGCGAATGCTCATCTTGTGCAGCGGCAGAAGTAGACCTGCGACATATGCGTTCAGTTGTGACTTCGCTTCATAACAAATTGCATTCTCTTGAAATTGATTATACGAATGCAAAAAAAGGCTACGAAGAGGTGAGGTTTTATAAAGAAAAAAAACGATTGATTTAATCGTTTCTTGTAAAAATCCAGTCACTTTCCAGATAAGATTTAATTTTACCTTAGGAAAAAGTGGGCTATTTGAGGTTTTTTATTCTAAGAAACTACTTTCAAGTAGTACTAATATATTGCTTATAATCTGGCTTATTAGAATAGAAATATACTGCAGAAAACAGCCCAACTACAACTAAAAATTATCGAAATGGAAAGGGTGCAGGAAAATTCGACTTCTGATTTACGCAATCAAATGCATCAGAAGGGTCAGGTATTTTGCAATTTATAAATTTCATATCAAGTTATCCATCTCACACACATTATTTCTCGTTAGTCATATCTCAGTATGGAATTGCTTTTAGCTTAACAATATTTGAAAAAACTCTCTTTATAATAAGAACTCTCATTATTTCACCCATTTTTCTCACTTCCCTTCTCCATATTTCATTCTTTCATCTATTTAAGCTTTCAATTTTTTCCTCATTTTCTGCTTGTTTTTGGTCCCACCAATTCTTATTTCCGCTCATGCTTTCAGTGATCGAAATGGAATCAGAAATGCAAAAGCAACGTATCCGGGCTCTGGATATCCTTGCAGAAAAAGAAAATGAGTTGGAAATTACGAAGTACTTTCCTTTCTTTTACAATTGGGTAAAGATGGATTTATTTTGGGAAAGAATATTGAAACTTATTTTTTTCAACCTGATTTGATAGTTTAACTTTTAACATTTTTAGAGATATCGACAGACATTTTCATCGCTATTGCTTATTTTTTTTAGTAAATAAAGGGAGGCAATGAATTAATGAAATTCCATGGCTGCATAACAGCTTTATTCGGAAAAAATTCATTTTTTAAATGAGTTTTTAGATTTCAGTACAAGGATTGGTAATTATGCGTTTCCTTTTTTGCTTTTCATTCGAAAAGCTTACTCAGTTCGATGGGAGTCAATATTCATAAATTCCAGAGCGAAATTAAACTCAATAATAAGAAACCAGCCAAATGTTGATCCAGTAGATCCTCCACAAGATACTTCATTCCGACCCGTGAAATATCGACAAAGTCACTCACACGACTTCTTTGAAAGTAATACTTCTACAGATAAACAACGAATTGGAGGTATCAAGTTTCCTTTCAGTGTCCCTTTTTAATACACTGACCATAACTCAGTTATTTTAACCTTTACTTTCTTTTCAAGAAAAAATCCTTCAGATGAATTTTGAAAATACCCACTCATGAAGTATTCCTCTGACATAAGATCATTTAAAATATTGGCAATTTAAAATTTTCTTTTTAATATTTTTTAATTTTTTTATAGCGAAACTTATAAATGCTAATAATTTGTAAACTTTTTTCTTTATTTGCAGAAATTCGGAGTGTAAATGATCATTCATCAAGTGATGTCGATTCGTGCTCCAGTGTCGTGGATGAGCACCATTCAGGTAAGCCAAAAGCACCACAATAAATGCAATTATCAATAATAAATTGTTCATTTCATAGCGTTTCGCAGTTCTTGCTTTGCGTAGTTTTTTTAATTCGAAGACTGTTAGGTCAAGTGTGCGAATAATTCACTTTCACTTTCCAATTATTCAAGTTTTTTGGTTCTGGGCAGAAGTTCTTTTTTTTTAAATTATATACGATGCAAATTATCATTGAAATTAAATATTTGCTTGAATTTTTTACTTCAGTTATCCATTTCCCTTCGTATTAACTGAAAGCCGATTAACTAACTGTTCATTTTTTGAGTGAATTATTCTTTAATATCGCAAAGCTACTTAGTATCCTTATTTAGAACCATCATTTTTGTTATATTACATCTTTCATATTTTTATTTTTAATGGTTAGCCCATTTTCGACTACTGATGTAATTTGTTAATCGTGCCAGTCATCTGCATTTTTAAACAGTACTTTTAAGCTTTAGAATGTTTATCAGTTTCACCGAATAGTACCCAAGTTCTTTTCAATGTCCCTGGAACTACAGCTGCCGCAGAAACTCGCAACATATTTTACGAACAGCAGCTTGTCAAGAGGGAAAGACAAATAGTTGAATTAAGGTTGTTACTTATTTTCCGCTTTAGGGAGATTTTTAGGTTTGGGTAAGTGTTGTGCTCAAAGTTCCTTTTGAAGCAACTATATTTAACTTTAGATGTCGCTGTTTTTCTAAATGGTTCAAATTATACTCTTTAATTCGGAAAACTCTTTATTAGTTCTTTTTCACTCTTTTCTGTTGTGTGAATATGAATGGCTAAAACAAAGTAAAGCAAAATAATTTGAGCTCCGTGACCTTTAGAAATGCTATGCACATAGCAGAATTAAATGTTCGCGATATTCACCAAGCAGCTGTCACTAAAGATCTGCAACATTTCGAAATGGTGGAAAAATTGAAGGATGAGATCAGGATCCTGGAAGGTTGGTAGTTTTTTAAAGTTCCATATTCTTCCTTTTAGGTATTTCCACATTCTTGTTGTAAATTACACTTGCAACATCCGTTCCTATCTATATCAGCTACACAACGGTTCCTTCACCTACTTTTTGATTAATAAAATTAAGCGTTGAAAATCTTTACGAATTGTTCCATATGACATTTATGTGTCAAATTTCATTCCAGGAAAACTGAAATTTTTAAGTGTTGATTCAAATATGGAGTATTTACGGAACGTTTTTATTCAATTGCTACACTGTGACACTTCTTCCGGTCGTAAACACATCCTGAAAGCGATAGGTGCTGTGTTGAAATTAAGTGTAACCGAAATGCGAGCGATTGAGAAACGTAACCTGTAGTGGTACACTCCGGAATTGGTGATATTGAAGTAGACGCATCCGTGTACTGTAAAAATAAGATTGAAAAGAGGAACTTCTTGTGGATCTTGATTATTCATTCCAATGAACAAGGTTTTGTCAGTTATAGAAAACCATGGCGGGACAAAAGACTTTACATGCAACCTTCTTTTTTTAGTTTATGTTCCTCAATAGAAGATTCATAAATTCCCAACTATTTCTAGGCTTTTCCACTGGAAAGTTAAAATTTTTTCAACTGTGTAATATCTTTTAGTTTTTCCTTTTCTAAATATTCTTACTTCTGTATTAGTTGTTGCCAACTTTCATCAGGTTGTTGCAATTCTAGAGATCTATGGTAGGACTTGATATTCACTTTCAGTTCCAGAAGGAAATGTTCGAGATCTTTTGGATTTGTAGTAATTTAAACAAGTATCATATTCTGACAAACCTAAGTTTTGAATTTTCTGACTTTGTTTTTTATGTTTTCGATCTGCTCTATATCGATTTCATTTTTCGCTGGCCTGTGTTAGGGTTGATATTTTTGGTTGTAACTTTCTCCTACTCTATGGTAATTAATTTTTTCTACCATAAGGTCATGTGTATTGGGAATTTCTGTATTATGAGTTCTTTCGTTGCATATTATTGTCGTTTTACTTCATCACTTAAAGAATGAATGAAGAGGCAATATAGAATCAACTAATCAAAGGACGCAGTTAAGACTACAAATACAAAACGGGAGGTGCTGTTTTGATTATAGTAACTTAATTCGAAATATGAATGTTAAAGCGCTGCTTTTTTAGCTTCAATTTTTTTTGGGAATTTAATTTTTGGTGGCGAAGTTGTGCGTTATCTTAGAAATTTCTCTTTCAATGTTACTGAAAGAGTTTCGTCTTTAACAGTGAGATTAGAATTGAATCCGTTTTGGGGATAGAGAAATTACAAATTAAATGTACTTTGTTGGTTTATTAGTGCTTTCTTGGTGATAACTTTTTATTACACTCAGGACAGTTAGGTAGTGTCAAAGTTTGATAAAATACGTGTCCTATAAAGTCTCCTATCAACGAATTAGGAAACTCGGTATCGCATGTTTTATTGACTGGTTGCCCAGCGATCAGTCCTGATTTCACTATTAACCACGTACCTTCTTTCGGAGATTCTTGCACCAAGTTCGCCAAGTCGCTTTACGCTAAGATGAGACATTGAGAAATGGAATATCTGGTTAGCAGATCGGGTTAAGCATCACTGCTAAATGTTGTAGATAAGTGCATGGTCACTTTACAATTACTAATAATGAACTAATCAGGAAGATTATCAGCTTGAACAATTCAGCAAGACAAGACACAGTACAGGATTTCATTTTGGCTTGGTTTACCCAAATTGCCAAAACATTTGCCCCGCACTATACACCTGTTATTAGTATTACCAAAGACTTCTGAGAGCATGAAAAAATCCCGCGATATTTTGGTCTCCCAACTGTAACCAACTAATTGAATCACGATTTAAAATGATTGATTAGAAGAAAAATGGCATTGTTTTTTTGATACCTTATAATAAAAAGATGTTTATTACTACTTTTCAAATATGTAAAAGGTCCTATCTTAACGAATAAGCAACTGTTTCCCTATTAACAAATATCAGTTTGGCGCATCCTTGATAATAGCAGCAATTATCGCAGACGATATTTGTTCCTGAATACTTTTAATGCTAATATCCAATCAAAATATCTTTGATGGTGTAAGAACTTAATTTCATTACTGTCCTGTAATATCT